AATGACAGGGAACTGACCACAGTCACAGAACTCATTGCTCAACAGTCTTTTACCACTTGATTCCCCCATAGTGACCATTTCAAAAGCTGGATATAACATTTATGATAGCTTTAAGTGTCACTGTCATCTGGAAAGTTGAACACATACCTCTGGAACTTGATACATCACTGATTCTAAACTTTGTCAGTTTCATCTTGGCCTCCTTTATTCAGGAAACCAAAGCACCTGTCATCAAATAATGCACTAGGTCTTTTAGCACCACAGAGTAGATGAAAGGTCATGATTGTGGGTAGGGCTACCTGACATAGGCTTGTCTGAAATCTGGCCTGTAGACAAGTACTCATTCCACGGTTAGCAAGTTTCTTCCTACATGGAAACTTCCAGAAGAACACAATTAGTAGAATCATTTGAGAAATTAAATAACTTGAGCTACCTTCGTAATGTGGAAGATGTCTTGGGGTAATGAATCTTGTTGCACATGTGGAAAAATACTCCAACATAAGCTATGTCTAATTTTTATAACTATGAACAAGCATATGTAGAATAGATTCTTTAACTATTGCTAAAAGTATGTACTCTGATGCTTCATTTAGGTGGGCCCAGCTATGGAAAAATGAAAAAAAAAATAAGATGCAGACTTCAGCCTACCTCCAGGATTCAAGATGCAGGCACCTAAGCCCAAATTGCATATACGAAGATAACATTCAACACTTCAGAAAATAACAGGTATTTGTTAGCCATAGCAAGCAGAGAGCTAAGCAGGTAGTAGTTGGTTATCCAGGCAAATTTACCATGAGGAAGCACAGCCCTGTCAGCAAACTAGGAGCAGGGGCAGGACTCCAACTTGAGTCAGAGGAGTGCTGGTAAGAGAAAACCCAGAAGAAGAATTAAATGTTATTCTTAAATACTACCTGGCTTGTATCAGGCTTAGTTTTGACTTAGAATAGCATAGATCCTGTAGGTATGAATAAAGTAGTCCCATTTCTAAGAAAGGGTGCAGAGGCAGGAAATGAAGGTAGCAAGAATTCTGCCATTTTAGTCTTATTATCTTGCACTTTCGTTTCATGTTTAAGCTGTCTTCAAGAGGTCTAGGGAGTAGACTATTAATAATATGGAAAGATATTTCCTTATAGTGTTAAACATAAAATTCAAATAATATAATTACTTTTTGTTGTTTATATTTGGTTTAATATATCTATATATGTTTGACAGATAATTTTAATCATAATCTAATCTTGCTTTCAGTATTACCTACAGCAAAAATAACTTTGAAATTGGTGCAAATTGGATGTGTTCCTTTTACAAAAAGCAAATGTCTTCCTTTATTTTCCTATGCCTTCTCAATTTTTATAGATGAATGAATTTACTGACTATTCAACTGTCCCATTTTACCTCTTAAAATTTGTGCCTCTCCTCAGTACACATATGTTTGATGAGTGAGCTAATGAATAAGTTGACCAACATCTAGCACAGTTGTAAAACTTAGTAGATATCTAATAAATGAATTTAATAAATGAATTAATGTGAAATCACAGGTAGTAATGACACTGGCAAAGGAAATTAATTTTTTTGAAAATTTAATCTCTGAAATAAACTAGCAACTTCAGATTATGTGAAGTCAGATACATAGAGAAATTAGAAGGCCACTACCTGATTTTTTTTTTTTCGAATCAAATGGCTTTACGCCAAGAAATTCTAGACATTATGACAAGCTGTAATTTGCTAACTGCATATGAATCCTTAAAATACCTTCAAGTAAGGTTACAATGATTATTCAAAAGTAGATTTATAGAGTTAATCACTGCTGTGCTGTGAAAAAAACTACAATTTTGTTAGCAAGCAGTACATTTTGTTAGGTATATGTAGCCACATTGTAAAATAGCTAAGCTGTCAACTGTGACTCATGATTCTTGATCAAGTTTGATAGTCTTTCTTCCTAAAATTTGCTCAAAGCTTTGATATTTTACCAACTAAAACACTTTTCCATAAGCCTTAATAAGCATGTGATGAATTTCTGCTGCAAGAGCAATTTTCATATTTAAGAATTAAATCACAGTATATGTTTTGCTTAAGGACCATATAGTTAGGAGACAGTTATCTAAATATATTAAATCATAAACACTGATAGACAAATCATCTTACAACACAGCTTTAAATCATAATGTGATATCACATTAATTCAACAAATATTTGTCCAGAACTCATATGCCATTCGCTTTCTAGGAAAAAGAATTCTAGCAAGAGAATATAGACAATAAACTAATAAGTAAATTGTCTAAAATTTAGAAAGTGGCAAATATTCTTGTAAAGGAGTAAGCAAGATCTGAGAGCTGGTGTGGAAGGAGTGACGGCGTGATCTTAGGGTGGTTAAAAGTGAGTGCACATGAAGCAGGTACATTTGAGTAAAGGAGGTGGTAAAGGAATGAGCCACTCTTATATACAATACATTAATAATTACTCCTGTAAATTTCCTTCTGAGCAGCCTTCATTATCTATAGGGATGATGTCATTCTCTTCCCAAAAACTCATCAATGACCTCCTACGGCATTTAGCTTAATATGTAATCTCCTTAATTTATTCTATGACTACCTCCGTGATCTCAGCTCAGCCTCACTCTCTAGCCCCCTGCCTTTTTCTCTTGATTACTCTGCTTCAGCCATACTGGATTTATTTTAGTTACCTTTGAGTATCAATGGCTTTCCCACCTCTTGGCCTTCCCACAAGCATTTCTTTTTCTCTGCTTATAATCATTCTCCAGACTTTTACCTGACCAGCTTCCCAACTAGCTGACTACTCTACTTTTCCCTGTTCTTACATTCTCATTGCACAATGTTTGCCTTCCCATCCCTTATTACAATCATAAGTAAATAACCATGTAATCATTTGCCTAATTTCTATTTTTCTGATAGATCTTAAGCTCCTTGATGATAGGGATGTTGTGAGACGTCTGCCTTGTTCATTACTATATCTCCAATACCTGCCACATAGTAGATGCTCGGTATTTATTGAATGACTAAACCATGCTTCAAAAAGGGTGAGAGTCATGTTGCTGTGCTGGAAAGAGAGAATATACCCAAGGTTAGGGTGGGAAAATAAAAGTGAAAAGTATTTTTCCCTGACTGAACTTAATATTTCAACAAGTTAAATGGCCAAGACTGAAAGACCTTTAAGGTCTTTAGGCAGTTATTTTAGGGTGTATTCTTCTCATGAATTCATATATAGCTGCAAGGAGTCTCCTTAGGTAATGATTATAGACTAGGAAGCGTAGCTGTTAGGCACTTCTCCAAACATTTTGGTTCTCCTTGTTACTAGGTATGTGGTAGAAATCCACCTCCCTACCCTCTTGAAGTTGAGAATGGTCATGTGACCTTGGATTATGAACTGTGAGTGGATACAGGATATGTCACTTTGGGGAAGAAGCTTTAAGAGTCACTACACAATTAGCACCTTTCTCTTTGCCACAGTACCTGGCAGTGCTTCAGGTGGTAGCTAGTCTGTTATTGGGTCCCTGTTCCATTCTTCACTGTTTTGCTTTCTGCCTGTCTGCTTATCTCAGGCTTCTACCACTTCTCTCCTAGATAGCTTGCCTCTTATGTACCTATTTTCTCTTTTTTTTTTTTCCTTTATTTATTTTATTGCATTTTAGGTTTGGGGGTACATGTGAAAAACATGCAAGATTGTTGCATAGGTACACACGTGGCAGTGTGATTTGCTGCCTTCCTCCCCATCACCTACAGCTGGCATCTCTCCCCTTGCTATCTCTCCCCAACTCTCCACCCCCACCGTCCCTCCCCTATTTCCCCCCAACAGACCCCAGTGTGTAGTGCTCCCCTCCCTGTGTCCATGTGTTATTGTTCAACACCTGCCTATGAGTGAGAACATGTGGTGTTTGACCTTCTGCTCTTCTGTCAGTTTGCTGAGAATGATGGTTTCCAGGTTCATCCATGTCCCTACAAAGGACACAAACTCATCGTTTTTGATGGCTGCATAATATTCCATGGTGTATATGTGCCACATTTTCCCTATCCAGTCTATCATTGATGGGCATTTGGGTTGGCTCCAGGTCTTTGCTATTGTAAAGAGTGTTGCAATGAACATTCGTGTGCACGTGTCCTTATAGTAGAATGATTTCTAATCCTTTGGATATATACCCAGTAATGGGATTGCTGGGTCAAATGGAATTTCTATTTCTAGGTCCTTGAGGAATCGCCACACTGTCTTCCACAATGGTTGAACTAATTTACACTCCCACCAACAGTGTAAAAGGGTTCCTATTTCTCCAAACTTTCACGCCCCTTCTGCTCGTTCAGTGGTTCTCGGACACTTGCCACTATTTATCTCTGGCTCCACCTGAGGTCTAGCCTCTCCTGGAGGTGGTGACCAGGATTGCAGGTTTTCCCTGAAACCATGTAGTGGGAGCCTTGATGCTTATGTAGGAAACAGTGATTCAGGCTGCTTGCCTCAGAAGTGTGCTGAGTCATAGGATTTTGACAACATATGCACACCTCCTGAAGCCCAACAGGAATATAAGGTTGACTTATCCTGTCTTATTATTTGGAGTGACTTGATCTGTGTTTTGAAGTAGATGTGTTCTCTGAATTTTCTCCTTATAAATAAAAAAGGAATGTTAGTGTGGAGGCGAGGAATGTATAAGAAAGAACTGTCTAACAATGAGACTTACAAGAATGGAGTGATAATTTCTTAGCTGAGAGAGAAAAAAAATCAGGAATTAGGTAGAGTTGAAAACACAATATGGAAGGGCTTTTCTGGTGAAGTGTTTGCTAAACACATTTTAACAGCTTATGCTGTGAACTCAAAATTGGCATCTGATTGACTGAAAGTACTAAACTATTTTTTAATGTATTATAAAGATTAGATTATACATGCATAGACAGCAGACCCTTATCCAGCTTGGAGTTACATTGCTTGTACTGTTTAAGCTATAATGATTGGCAACTTCCACTTTCCCAGAATATTTAAATCTGACATTTCCTTTCTAGGATTTCTCTCCTCAAGTATTCCTGGGAATCCTTAGAGAATGCTACCACATCCCTCTAACCCATCGTGGTGGCCAATCTGCCATACAGAACTCTCCAAGTCACCTTTGACCATTTCTAAGTGAGAACTGACACTGTTCACAATGCACTGTTTTGTTCCTGATATAGATAGATCCTTTCTCTTAAGCTTTCCAAATCTCAGCAAGGTGAGGGACAATGATGCTTTACCATTTCAGAGATGAACTCTGGTACCTCAGTGATTTACCATGGACATTTGAATCCAGTATTGGGGTTGTAGCCTAGCTTTGTGCAGACTCCCATGTGTCTGGACGCCAGTACACTACTCCAGCCAAGGAGAAATCTCTGTGTTCCTTAACTTCAAGACCCCTATTTCTTTGGTCCCATATTTCAGAAATGCCCCAAGGACCAGGCCCACCAATTCTTACTCTACCTAGACTAATATTGAAAATAGGTACCTGGTATTTTAGCAGAAGTAACCAGGCATGGGTTGACAGTCAAGGCTTAAATAATGCAATCATAGTAGGTGAAAAATGTACTTCCCAAGTTTTTGGATAATTCAATCTTAATATGGAGGCCACTGACATTCTCTTTGTATCTGTATTTTGGGGAAACAGTTCTCTAACTCTACAAAGATATAGTCTGCCTAAAAATGCAGCCATTTATATTACTACATTCAAATTGTGGAGACTTCACAATTTTCTCCAGGAACAATGGTAGGTACTTTTATGTAATTAAAAGTTCCATCCTGGTGAATTTCCCAGAACAAAGGGAATTTGTTCTAAAACGTAGTTGATATTTCCAACTCTGGGAATTGAAACATTTAGCAACCACAAATGGCAGTTCCTTTTCTAAAAGTAATTTTTAAAAGTAATTCTTAATTCTTCCCCAAAAATCCACACAAAGTTATAGTTAATATTTGCCATGAATTCAGGTTAATATGGGGAAACATAGAACAAAGATGAGATATTCACATGCATTTCTTTTTAAAAGCTGTAACTCAGAGAAATACATTGGCGTTTCCAAATGTATATCATTGTTTTTTTCTGGAGAAAAGTTCTAGTGTAGGCCCTCTTTCTATTTTCATAACAGCATTGACACATATTTCTTCCAACAGAATTATGTTCTAATTCAAATAATTTATGAAAATATACATCTTAAGCTACAGAGGTGATTGGAGCAATTAGCTGGAAATGAAATACATGAAAAATTAATAGTGATTTTATAACATTTTAAGCATGAAGGTTTTTTACTTACACAAATAGTACCTATTTATTGTCTTCAAAAATTGTGAGATACAGGAAGGTATAAATAAGAAAAATACTTACCAATAATCTTACTATCTGAAGACAATCAATTGTTATTTTGCTGCCTTTCCTTAGTGTATTTTTCTAATAATTAAAAAATGGTTGCAGGTCTGGGTGCGGTGGCTCACTCCTGTAATCCCAGCACTTTGGGAGACTGAGGCGGGCAGATCACAAGGTCAGGAGATAGAGACCATCCTGGCCAACATGGTGAAACCCTGTCTCTACTAAAAATACAAAAAAAATTAGCTGGGCATGGTGGTGCATGCCTGTAGTCCCAGCTACTGAGGAGCTGAGGCAGGAGAATTGCTTGAACCCAGGAGGTAGAGATTGCAGTGAGCCGAGATCACGCCACTATACTACTGCCTGGGCAACAGTGTGGGACTCTGTCTCAAACAAAAAAACAAGGTTGTGATTATATGCCATCCTAATGTTCCCATGTTATTTGAAATAAAAGTATTATATAATTAAAAATGATTTACAAATATCATTTTAAGGAAAAAAATAATATTATTATAGACCTTGGCTTGTGGTGATCTTTTTAATTCCTGAGGTTGGTTATAAGCCATGCTTGTACAGGTCAATGTAGAACAAATAGTTTTGTCAGAATTGAAGTTCTGTTGCATTCCAGTTTAACTTATCGTATCATTATGGGAAGACTAGACTTTTTAGAAACCAGTAAAAAGCACGGAGCAAAACACATGGTTTGCCTCCAAACTGAGGTGGAATCCTTAGTTCAAGACTTTTATAGGCCAGTGAACATTCTCATTAGTCCTGGAAGAGCCTCTAATGCTGGGAGAGCTGAGGGAGTCAATCATAACTACATTGGATTGTGCTATCTAGTTCTCCTAATGGATGTTTACCAAAAGCCTTCTTTGATCTCCTTTTTTGTATCAGACTTTTTCCTAGATGTTGTACAGTAGTAAACAATTAGAGCTTGTCCTGCCCTTCTGTCCTGTATGGGTGAAAGATATGCTCCCTGTCCTCACTCATCATAAGGGTCATTGTCAACATTCCTATAACAAAAGACAGGTTTACAAGAAAAAAGCATAGCAAATTTATTTAATCTAAGTTTTAAGTGACACAGCAGCCTCAGAAATGAAGAGCTAAAGGCCCAGGGAAAACAGTTTTAGGTTCGATGAAGAACGAACAGCCATGTAGGAATGTGATTGGATAAAAAATATGATCTAAAGATAATAGACTGGTGGGAGAAATGTACAAGGCCTTTCTGTTCAGACTCTCCTTGGCCTGTCTGTGTAGCATCCCTTCCTCTGAGGTATGGACAACAGCCCTCTGGAATGAAGATCTTCAAGAGAAAAGGGAAAGGGGGAAAACTTTTCTAGACTTTATGGCTTGCTTTGAGGGAGAGAGGTTCTAGTTTCTATGAACCAAGTCATAGTCAAGTCTATTATTGGCTTTGAAGGAGGAATTTTGGCTTCTATGACCTGTTTCTGGAAAGAACAAGTGGAAAGAGATAGGAGGTTAGGAGTAGGTCATAGAAAATTTTCTTCTCAGACCTTTCAATCTCCTTCATTTCAAAATACTCAGCATGCCAATGTGCCATACTTTGGGGTATCATGTTCTAGAAACCCCATCTCTACTGAAAATACAAAAATTAATCCGATGTGGTGGTGCATGTCTGTAATCCCAGCTACTCAGGGGACTGAGGCAGGAGAATTGCTTGAACCCAGGAGGTGAAGGTTGTGGTGAGCCAAGATTGTGCCATTGCACTCCAGCCTGGGTGACAAGAGTGAAACTCCATCAAAAAGAAAGAGGAAAGAGAGAGAGAGAGAAAGAGAGAGAGGAAGAAAGAAAGAAAGAGAGAAAGAGAGAAAGAAAGAAAGAAAGAAAGAAAGAAAGAAAGAAAGAAAGAA